TATCTTTCATCTTCAAATTTTTCAATCATTTCGTCCCTGTTACTCAGAAATAGATCAAAAAAAAAAAGCTCTTCCCCTAAGAATTTCCTCTAGTTTCTGAAACAGAGTTATCCTATATCCATTCTAGGAACTTGATGGATATCATCTGTGTCTTGCTCCATTGCTTTTCTAACAGACATTTGGGTAATTAAAGTCTGTCATCAACACTGGTTCCTGTCCTTTACAGGTTTGTATTAGTTGTTTAAAAAAAAAAAAAAGCCTCATCTCCCAGCTTCTTTTCAGTAGGTGGTCTATAGTAGATCCTTACCCTGACATTGTGTGTGTAGGAGGGGTTTCTGTTTCGGTTTTTGGGGTTTTTTTGGGGGGAGGGAAGTATAGGGGAGGTGATTCCCTTGCTTTACCCAGGAACATTCAATAAATCTGTGCCTCACTTCTTCCTGAACTTCACAGCTGGTATGCATCTTCAATGCCTCCCTCTTCTTTTTTGTCTGTCTGTTCTTGAAGAACAAACAGTACTTTTCTGTACCATTCTGTGACTTCTCCCATCATATCTTTCTGACATTCATGAAGTCATACTTCTGGTTGCACAATAAGACTTCAGGTTCTTCCTGGGTTTTTTTCCCTCTCCATATCCCTTGTTTGTGTATATCAACATCTCAAATGCTCGGCATGTTTCTTTATGATTCTTCTTCAGGACTGTATGACCTAACTGAAGTTTCCTGTTGCTCCCAATTCCAGCCTACTGTTGCTTGGGTTTTTTTGTGTGTGTGTTTGGAGTTTTTTGTGGGGGGCATTGTTTTGTTGTGGGTTGGTGGGTTTTTTTTTATTATCTGTGAACTTTAGTCCCTGGTTTCCTTCAAACCTGGTTTAAAAACTACCTGAGTAGATTGGCAAGTCAGGGTCTTGGGATGTTCTTTCCCCTGCTTTTCAGGTGGACCACATCTCCTCTCACCAGTCCTTCCTTGTGGACCACAGAAGTTCTCTTTCCAAGATTGAAAAAGCCAAGTTCTTTTGTCAGTCCCATCTGTGCAGCTATGCATTTGCCTCCCACATAAGTCTGTTCCTTTCTGACCCTTTGCTTTGAACTGGGAAGACCGAGCACACAACCTGTGTGACTTCACTTCTGGAATCGTGTAGTTGCTTTTGATCTGGCAATGTCATTAATACCCACATGGATGAGCAGCATGAGGCATGGGGTGGTGGTCAGACAAGCATCATCATCCTTTCCTTGAGGTCTTATAGTTTTGGCAAGCAATACACATCCCTGGATGACAGGTCAGGTTGGCAGATGGATGTCTCTATCCCCTTCAGATGAGTCTCTGTCCAGTACTTCTGCCTCGGTGATTCTTGAGCTTGGCAGGCAGGAACTTGAGTGGGGAATGCAACACAGTTTACAGCACAAGGTGACCAGCAGGCAGTCTCCTAGGAGGAGCAGCCAGTTCTTCCTCCTACAGTGCTGGTGCAGTCCTCTCAAGTTGGCTAGCTTTCTCCACTCTCCAGGAAAATAGGGATGTGGACATTTGGGCTTAGATATCTACTTGAAAAGATGTAAAGTATATTTAACTAAAGTGATCTCTTCTGCTGCAAGTAAAACAGGCATAGAGGGAGTAGAAATTTCATCACGAAGACGCAAGTCTTTTCTGACGGTAATGTAGGGTCAGTCCTTGCCAATGTTCTTGGTGCAAAAATTAGGGGAAATGTGTGTTGTGTGGAAGACCTGAGTCCTTCATCCTTGAGGGACTTGAACTGAGGGATTCTCAAATCTGTGAAGTGGCAGTTTTAGTACTTTTAAGGACTGGTCAGCAGAACTTTTTAGCCCTTTTTAGGGCCCTCTTGCCAATAGAAAATGAGACTATTATTTGCCCGCAACACTTTTTAGCAAAGAGCTAGAACTAGTCGCTCCCTCCAAGACAGGTGCGCACTGGGCAGTCAAAGCATTCCTGCAGGTACATATTAAGTGTCCCTAGTTTCAGCAGAGGAAGAGCTGAATTATTAATTGGATCCCAGGGAGAAGACTCCATCTTTCCTGGGACCTGGGCTGAAAATTGGCCGCCCTCCACCATGAGCTAAAGGGGGACCCCCTCAGCCATTGACAGTGGTAGTGCCATCATAGTTATCTCCTCTGCCAGCCATCAGGCACCACAGGGGGAGGTCTTTGCCACCGTTTATCCCTTTGAATGGTTTCTGCATACCAGCCAGGACTACCTGTGACTCTCTGGTGTTGTTTGACTAGAATACGGCGAATTTCTACACTGCAAAGGAAAAAAATTCACTGACTTCGAAGAGATACGCATGGAAATCGAGGCAGAGACAGACAGGGTTACTGGCTCCAACAAGGGGATTTCTCCTGTACCCATCAACCTCCGAGTCTATTCTCCCCATGGTGAGTACTGTATGGCACCCATGGCCAAAGGATTGGGTGGGGCAGACTGGTAGGCTTGATTTCTCTGCTGCCTTTCTATCATGGACTTGCATAATAATAAGAGATGAATACATGAGAGTGTTCAGATGCTTTGGTTCTGCATGGGCCCAGTCTGTCATGAGGATGTGGGAGCAGTTTCCAGTCTCTTGATTTATTTGGGGCATGAGTATTTGAATAACTGACTCAGCTGGCTGGCAGTAGCATTCTGGGATGCCATGTGCTGGAATCAAACCAAGCCAAACCTTGCTTTCCAGATTGGCTAGGACTGGGATTGTTGTACAGGTAGCATACTTAATATCTAGGGGACAAGGAGCCCTTAGTAAGACTCTCTTGTTGTCCCCTATTTAATCATGGGTTACACCAATAGACTTCAAAGGGAGCTGTGTCTGGGCCTCCCTTGGTCAAAAGCAGAGATATTCCGATGTGGGCAGCAAGGATGTTGAAGCAAGGTTTGAAATGGGATTTTTTTCCTTCCCATATAAAAAAATAAATAAATAAATAATAATAAAATAAAGATTTGATACTCAGATCAAGTGTAGGGGGCATCTGAATCCCAAGACCTCTGGGCTTGGGCCTGCACATAGGATGCCTGCTAATGGATTTGGGAGTATCTGAAGTCCCAGAGAGAGTCTGGGCTGGAGGATGCTTGCTGGTTATAGTGCCATACATGGTGTTTAGAATGGTTGAGTTCTGTCTGCTCAATCAATATAGTTTTTGGAACTGATTTGACCTGGAACGCAAAGTTATATTGTATAACAATATGGTATTAAAAAAATTATAAAGACTTGATAGTTGATCAGATTCTTGGCTTGATCAAGATACTAAATAACCCTGCTGAGAACTCTTTTTGTCATCTCTCAGTGCTACTGTGCAGTTGTCCAGAGTTTCTGCAGCTCTCCTACCCCTCTGGGCTTTTGTTTAAGTCAGTTTTTTTCAGATTATAAAGTGGATGTTGCCTTCAAAGTCCTTCCTGGTATGGAGTTGAGAATGGAAGTGCTCAGGGTTTCTCCATGCACTCCACAGAAAGGAAAGATGGAGTGATTCAAAAGCTATGATCTCTTGTTGTCTGTACTTTTAATTCCTTGCCTGTTGCATCTTCTCCTAATTTTAATGAGCCTAGCCCTTATTCAACCAAAACTCTTTATCAAAGTCAGGTGAATGTTGCCTGAGAGGGGACTCCAGGATCTGTCCCTATAGTTGTTTAATATTCTTGTGCCTGGCTCTTTTTGTTTTTGGTTTTGTTTTTTTTTCTCAACACCCTCCCACACAGCTAACTGCTGCTGTGGTGCTGAATTGCCACTTGCAAAATGATGCTCACGAGTTTGTTTGAATCTAGAAGCTGAAAAGAAATCTGGGGTCATGTCGCTCCATTGATTTTTATTTTTTTTTAAGCAGCACTTCCCATTGAAATCAATAGCATAATATGATATGGGCTCTGTCTTTGTAAATAGTGAACCAGGGAGAATTCTTTACTTCCATATTCTAGGGAGATCAAGTGACTGAATGACTTTGAAAGTCACCCCTTGGTGTGTCTCTTGCTGTCCTCCGCAATAGTACTTTGGCAGGTTGAAGGTGGGGAGACACTCCTGACATTTCCCTTAATGTGTGCACATGGAGAAAGGGCCTTCCCCTGTACAGGAGTGACCGATGCTGCGCAGATATCAGTGATTCTGAAAGGCGAGGTCACCCATTTTGCATCAGAATCCCTTAGCAGGAAGACACTGAAAAGCCTAGAATGTGACATAAGCCTTTCAGAAGCTGCTGCATGGCTGCACATTTCCATCAGCAGAACAGGGATTAAAGCAAAACAAAATATTTGTTCTGATAATCCCTTGCAATACTCTGGCATTCATTCATGTACAAGGACCCTATCAGACTGATTAAATATTAGCCCCATTTTATGGATAGTGAGGTGCGGAGAGTTAAAGTGACTTGCCCAGTCATGCAGACAGTCGGTGGCCGAGTGAGGATACACACGGAGTGGCCCTGTTCTGATGTTAGACACTTCCTCTCAAAGCTGGGACTACCTCCCAGTCTTCTGTCCTCCAGTGTCTTGCTCCAACTTCTAAACCTGTTAGATGCGCCATCTTGATTAACTGGTAACAAAAAGTAGCCTGCCCATATACCATCTTTATTCCTTTTTCCTCTGGCAGGGTGAGCCTCTGCATTGCTGGCTGAGTCGATTAGCATGAATGCATCATACCTATCAAGGAAATTTATAAGCTACAGATACTTTTTATAAACACAACAAACTAACCCCATGGGCCCTCATTCTCTTCTTATTTCCTTTGTTTAGTCCTGAATCTGACACTGGTGGACCTGCCAGGGATGACAAAAGTCCCAGTGGGGGACCAGCCACCTGACATTGAGTTCCAGATCCGGGATATGTTAATGCAGTTCGTTACCAAAGAGAACTGCCTGATCCTGGCTGTATCCCCAGCCAACTCTGATTTGGCCAACTCTGATGCTCTGAAGATTGCAAAGGAAGTGGACCCCCAAGGTAAATCAAGCTTCTGCTTTTATTTTGCATAGTACCTCTGGCCCTGGGTCTGTTTTTTGCTTTATCCCTGGTAATGAGTAATGTGTTGAGCCCAGTATACCCATCACTTTGCTGAGGAAACAAATGTTTCCAGCTTGTGTGGCTCTTGTTCAGGCTATACAGCCTCGTGAGGCTGTGGTATTTTTGACTCCTACAACTCCCAAGGCAGTAGCCTAATCTATATAAAGAGTCTCCTAAGGCAGTACCCTGTGAAGCCTGGTTGATGTTACAACAGTGCCTGCTGTCTGAAGTATCAGAAATTTCCTTTTCTCCTTCCAGTGAAGAAACAGCTCTGTCACCCTTGTTTTCCCTGCAGGGTACAGACTTGGGCAGGAACATCTGCACCAGACTCCCTCTCTATAGGACAGGATGGGGCATCTCAGCAGGGTATAACAGCATCAGCTTCCCCACCTCCTCCTAGATGCTGCTGGTATTTGCCAGTCTCCCCTGATCAAGGCCTTGTGCAGGAAGTCCCATGTGCCTGAATCTAGCATCCCTGTGGAATTTGTGCAATGTTCCCTCTGCCCAAGCACATTAAAGGAGCGGTCCTTCGTTTCTTTCTTTCCCCACCCCACCCCACAGGCCAGCGCACCATTGGAGTCATCACCAAACTGGACCTTATGGATGAAGGAACTGATGCACGAGATGTTCTAGAGAACAAGCTACTTCCCCTTCGAAGAGGTATGGTTCCTTTTGTCATATCGTCCTCATTCTCTTCCTTCTTTCAGTCAATCCTGGCATTAACCCCTTCCTTCACCGTTCCCTAGAACTTGTGTCAAAGAGTGGGTCTCCTTTCTCTTCCTTCCACTCCCGTGGCAGAATCTTAACCCCAGGCTTGAGGTTAAGTCATAGGATCTCTCTGCTCTGAGCTGGATTCTTCCAAGGGAGTGCTATGGGCCACCCTGTTTCCAAGGGTCTTTGTATTTGGTATGCAGTCCTGGTAGCCAGAACCCAAGAGCATGGTCCTGTTCTGTCTTGGACCTTTCTGTTGCATAAGGAAAGCTGTAACTACTGGAATCTGGGTCTCACCCCTCCTTCCCAGATGTCAGTCTGAACATTCCTTTTCTTATGATTTAACATTTGCAATATGCTAATGTCTATGAAGCTACCTAACCTGTGGTGAGGGAAAGCAATTTTCACGGCTTGGCCGTAGCCTGAAGAACTGATTTCGCAGTCATTTCATGGCAGCCTCGCCCCTTGGCACTGATTTTTAGCAGAGAAGCCCTGCCCTTCAGTGCCGATTTTTGCCAGAGAGGCCCCAGCAGGGGGGGGTACCACTTTGACTGCTGGCTCTCCTTTGTTTCGTAGTTTCATACCTTCTAGGGTTGGAAGGGACCTGAGCAG